ATTTTGGGTTTCATTTGTCCTTTTGTAAAGTGGAATCCAAGGTCATTGCTATAAATTTTCCGTTTTGCTTTAGTTCCATTCCACAAATTTTCATATGTTGTGTTTTCATATTCTTTTAGTTCAAATACTTTCTAATTTCCCATTATTTCTTTGACCATGGAAATGTGGTATTTAGTTTCCAATGTGGAGGGAATTTTCCAGTTATCTTCCAGTTGTTGATTTCTCTATTAAGTTCATGATGGTCCAAGAACATTCTTTATATGTACAAGACCACACCAGATGTCATATTTGTATTTGGATTCAGAACCCATTTTGGTGGTGGCAAGGCACCTGGTTTTGGCATGATTTATGATTCCTTGGATTACGCAAAAAAAAAAAAAATGAACCCAAACATAGACTTGCAAGACATGGCCTGTATGAGAAGAAAAAGACTTCAAGAAAACATCGCAAAGAACGCAAAAACAGAATGAATGAAGAAAGTCAGGGGGACTGCAAAAGCCAACGTTGGTGCTGGCAAAAAGAAATGAAGTGTCTAGCAGTGAGCTGGAGATTGGACAACAGAAGGAGTAAAGATTCTGCAGTGGCTTTATCTGTGGTGATTGTGCAGATTTTTCATGAGAGGATTAATAAACTAAGAATGTTTAAAAAAAAAAAAACCAGGAAGGCTTTATAAGCATCTTCTGGTGCTGAGGAGGGCAGCTGGCCGCGAGCCCCCTCCCATAGCGCTGGCGCTGCCCCTGCCCCCAGAGCCCTCTCTGCAGGAGGCTTTTGTGCTTGCTTGCCTTTCACTGCAAGGGGTGACCCAGGCCCTTGGGAGGTGGGAGGCCACTGGAAGTCCTTACCTGGCTTCCCTGGATGAGCAGCTTTGGGCACACTGGGAGCCCTCGCAGGCAGCCCATGCTGGCAGTGTTACCTGCTGGAGGTTGATAAGATGTTAGTGGAGGGGGTTAAACAGGTGAAAAGCCACAGGCCAGGGAAAAGTTGAGGGAAGGGAGCCCTGGTGGCCAAGGGCCTCGGCCAGGTCAGGTCTGCGCTGCGTGCCCCCAGGAGCCAGCGGGGGGGGCAGCATTGGGCCTGGCCAGTGCCCCAGCCCAGGTGAGAGGCAGGCCTGGGGCTAAAACCAGCACTGCAGGAAAGAAACCGCCACAGCCAAGAACTGGCAGTGTCCGGGCCTTTCGTCAGAAGCCATGCCTACCGGCTCGGCAACTAGAGAATGAGGCCCAGCTCAGGGAAAATGAATGAATGAATGAATGAATGAATGAATGAATGACTTTTAGAGCTGAGAATATTATCTATCTTGGTAAATATTCCAAAACATTTACCATTCATTTACTGTTGGAAAGAATTCTATATTCTGTACTTGGCCAGTAGAATGATACTTAAATGTCAGGTCAAATCTGTTGATTGTGTTGTTGAAGTCTTCTCTCTGCAGACATTCAGCCTATGTATTCTATGAGTTATGGAAAAGGAGGTGATAAAATATTTGAGTATAACAGTATTTCCCCCTACAGTAGTATCTGTTTTTTTTTTTTTTTCTTTTCATATATCTTGAAGCTTTTATTAGGTACGTAGACATTTAGGGTGGTTATGGCTTCTTGATGAACTAATCCCCACTGTGACGAATTGTACTTCCCTGTTTTTTTGCATGCCTGATAATTTTTTATTGTTTTGTTGACATTATAAATTTCATCTTACTGCTGAGCTTTGTTCTGGGATGCATTCAGTTACTTGGAAGCAGTGGTGTCTTGATTTTAAACTATTTTAGATGGTACCCACCCAGTGTTTAATCTAGGACTAAATTTATTGTTACCCAGGTAAGATCCTCTTGATTACTCCTCCCTACACTCCAGATTTTCCCCTCTGGTTGATCCAGACAGATCCTTTAATCCCTCTCTTTGACTCTTTTCTCCTGCTTGAAGTAGTTCCCTCAGACATATCAAGTCAATGGAGTACCCTTGACTGCAGATCTCCTTGTCCTCTCTCTATCTCTTTGCCACTCTGGCACTCTGCCCTGGCAAATCCAGCACCCTGGGCATTCTCGGATCCTGAACTGCATACTTTCAATTCAAGGAGACCACCAGAGTCTGCCGAGCTTCCCCTCTTTGTATAGCAGCCAGGAACCTTTTTTTGAGGTATTAAACCTGGACATTTGTTGTAGGGTTCACCTCTTTTGTTTCCTGAATCTCAGGATTCGCTCTCCTTCCTTGCCTATTATCCATTGTCATGAGAACTTTTGTCTCTTACATTTTTTATGGCCTTATTGTTGGCTTCACTTTGCAGGTAAATTTGGTAACTATAACTTCTTCTTGGCTGGAAGCTGAATTCAAGAGCTAGGATTTTATATAAAGTGGTTCTAATGCATTTTAAATTGTACCTGGAGAAACATCTGTAGGGTTGGCTCACAGGCAGCTATTAACAGGAATGGCTGAACTTCATAGGACTGTCCTTTTCACCCTGGCCATTAGAGTACCTGCCACACTTGGACAATTACTGTGAAAGTTACTTAGTATGAGGTGTTCAGAATGAAGGAAAATTGAACCCATTTTGGTTCTTGAATCTATTGTTTTAGCACGTGTTATATTTTGGGTTTTGCATTTCTTCTTTAGTTGTTTAAAGGTTTTATGTTTTGCGTGGGAATTTGTGTCTCAAAGACACAAATATCTTTTTAAAAATTAAGTGTGAAATGTTTGCATATACTAAATGTTTTAAACACAGAAATGAAAAGAAATAAGTAGAGCATGACATTTTGAGTTTTCACTTATGAATGTTCAACCAATAAATGTATTTGATTTTTTTCTTCTGCCTCATAGCTTCCGTGATATAAAAATTAATGACAGTTTGCATTTGTTAAGTCAGTTTTACTGCCTAATAAAGCTAGGTTTATTATTTTAATGAAAGGAAATGCTTTCATTTTATTTATGCATAATCAGATATGCAGCTACTGTGCCCAAAATTTATCTGTATATTTTTTAAAAAGCCAGTCCAATAACAGAACTGCTATAATTTATTTTTAATAGGAAGAAATCAAAACCAAGAGAAAGTTAAAAACTCAGAATTTTAAAAACTAGGAAGTAAATACGTGATGTTGGTATTTTGGCAAGTCAAACTTTAATAATCTTAATTTGTTCTAATTATCTCTTTGTTTTCCTGCCCTCCAAAATCATTATTAGCTAATCTGTCCATCAAATCATGGTTACAGTTTAATAGTGAAAGTAGATGTAGCTGTCCACAGATTATAATAGATTCCTTGCAGAAGGCCAATTTCTTATCTGTGGAGGTTGCTAAAAGTTGAAGAAGGTGTTTTGTTTTTGTTTTGTTGTCATTGTTTTAAATTTTCCATGGTACACAAAGTAAATGGTAATCTTTTTCATTTAGATTTTTTGATTTATGGAAATTAGTAGGTCTTTTTATGATGCTGTGTGTGTTTTTTATGTTGTGGCTTACTTATTGGTAGATGAATTTGCAGACAAACCTGCTCACTATTCACATAACTGATCCAGGTGTATTTCAGTATTGTCACAGTAAAGCTTTCAAAATCTACCAATTTCACACAGCCTTTCTGATGTACTAGATTTTAATACTGCTTTACTTCAATCTGAAACAGTTGACATTTATAGTACTCTCACCTTGCTTTCTAAATGGGTTGTCACTGCATTAAGCTTTGAATGACCATAAATGGCTTCTCTATCTGTGCCCCTATCTTACCATTTTGGGAGAGAATCATTTGCTGTAAATCAAGTCTTCATATGATTTTCATCACACTCCTGTAGAGATGAATATTCCCATTCCCGTAGTGTTCAGTTCTAATTAATACCCTGCCTAATGTCCCAAGTTAACTTCTATTGCCAAGACAGTAGCATATATTACTCCATTTTTGTGAACTAGAATATTAGATTTCCAAAAGGTTCCTGAAATGGTAAAAATTCTTGGATTTTAAACTTGACTTGGTTTAGGGTTTACTAATAAAACTTAGCCTCCAGGAAGAATGCCTCTAATTAAGCAGTTAACATCCCAGTGATCCTAGGCCTTGTCTTCTAACAGCAGGAATACCATAGGTCTAGAAGTCTACTCTGGCCCCATCAAGGACACCGTATAGAAATGCCTCTTAAAGCTAAAGGTGAAGGTGTAATTGAAGCACTTCTGACAATGTAAGGGAGGGACCCTTAAGGCTCCAGTAGTTCATATCTACAGCTTTCCAGAATTGATCTAGAGTTCTGATATGGAGACCAAGGCAACTGTGTCATTTTGAAATCCCATTTATATTTTTATATTTTGAAGTGATGATTGAATGCCACTTAGGGAATTATTCAAAATCTATAAATGACATATATATGTATGTTGTGTATGTATGTATATGTATACATATATACATACATACATACATACTCTATATAAAGTAGACATTAATTTTTTTCTTTTATTACCTTTTTAGGTGATATTTACTAATAATATAAACCATAAGCAAGTCCTGTATCATGCCCAAATTCCTTAACTTTAATTGAATAGATTGGGATGAATTTTGTTACTTAAGTCAAAAAATTGGAATGAATTCTGTTCCTTGTTTGTTTTTAATGAATGCCATTCATTCTTTTGGTTGATTGAAGCAATTTGCCAGTGACTTTGTAAGTAAAATCCATTGAATGCATTTTAAATAATAATTAATTGCCAAGGAAATGGAAAAAGAAGAGTAGTTAATGCAGTTTGTAGGGATTTAAGGAAGAATAATTTCTGACAGTTCCAATTATGTAGGTCTTCCTAGTACCCATAAATTGCTTTAACTTGAATTGTTTCTTGATGCTTTTGCAGTTTGAACTCAAATATGTACTGTTTTAGAAAATAGATTGTGCCCAGATTTCTGTAAACATTTATATGTTCCATTTTACAATGCCCAGTCATGTTGATTTCACAGAGATTTGGGGAAATTGATCCTAATGGGAATAATTACTATGGGAGCTGAAAGTAATAGATGTGTCCTTCTTTTTCTTTCTTTTTTAAAAAAGCTGGACCTGTGATCTACAGAATGCTGAGTTATCCCCCAACTCGCCGAGCTTTAATTGTGGGTTGTGGTCTACAAATGTTCCAACAGCTCTCAGGCATTAACACCATCATGTATGTATTTCTTTCTGGCTTTTTACTGAAAACATTGTGAAGGAATTATTTTACATGGAAAAAAGAATAGGACTGTTGGTGATTTGTTATATTAATTGTATAGGATCCTCCTTTGGAAGGTAATTTACAATTTTTAATCCTATCAGAATGTAGTTTAGAAGGAGATGGTTTATTTTGTTATGCTCTATTGGCTTTATTTGATATCATAAAGTTTTTCTTACACATCATCCAGTACTTCATTGTATTTTGAGGTAATGAATTATCATTTTCATAAGCCATTTCTTGATGCTGCTCAAAAAGTGAAACACAAGGGAATCACCTGGCATTGTCAGAGGTTATTTGGCACACAAATAACTAGTTCATTTCCTTTTGGGGCAGTCTGTTACAATGCAATGTGATAAGAACATTAATAGAAGGTGTATTACCATCAGAGTATAGTGGGCCAGAGACAGAGTGAGAATAGGAAAGTGGGGAAGACACAAGTTTCCTGGTTTCTAGTTGTCAGAATAATCCAAAAAGTTGTATGGGGGTTAGGGTGGAGCAGGATGAAATGTAGGGGTTTTACCATGTTTTATTCATCCAACATTAAACCCATTTTTGATGGCCCATTTTATACAAGACATACAGAAGTGAATAAAGTAGACATACTATTGGTCTCAAAGTATATAGGCTGGTGGAAGAGACACATTAAATTTACAGTTTAATATATAATTTCAAATTATGATAAGGGCTATGTAGAACTATTTCAGTCCTCCACAGAATAGACTTTTAGGATCCTAGGTAATAAAATTTGGTAGAGGAAAGTTAGGAAAGTTATGATTTTTGCTGAGAAACTAGTTGTTGGGTGAAAACCTGCTAAATCGTAGAAGTTTCTCCCCAGTACCTATTGGTTAAAATTATCAAAAAAATACAGATTGTGTAAAATTCAGTTTTATTTGGTAAAGCATTTGTATTTAGGACTCTTGATATTTTCCTTTGAAGTTACTTGGGATATGGTGACTTATTTAGTGATCATTTGAGAAGCGTGAATAGCTTAAAATAATTATTAAAAACAGTGATTGGGGCCCAGTGACCCAAGATTAAATCAGGATTTGTTAAGAAACTCTGAAGATTTATTTATCTATCTATCTATCTATCTATCTATCTATCTATCTATCTATCTATCTATTTATGATAGGAGAGAGAGCACATGCATGTATGCAAATCAGGGGAGGGACAGACACGGGGAGAGAGAGAGAGAATATCTCCGGGAGACTCCTTGCTTGCTACATGTGGAGCTCAATCCAGGTCTTGATCTCATAACCCTGAGATCATGACCTGAGACGAAATCAAGAGTCAGATATTTAACCCACTGAGCCACCCAGGTGCCCCAAGAAATTCCACTTTAAGTATATCTACACCCTTTGTGAATTTGGTTTTAATCATAATCCTTGATAGACTACAACTTCCTGGATTGCATTGTTAATATTTGGTCCTCTCCACCTTCCATCTAAGATGTACTTTAATTTTTTATCCCCTTTATCTGCTCTTTATCGCCTTTATCAGCACCTCAGTAGAGTACCTAGCATATTTATTTGTTTTCTGGATATGGTATACCATGATTGTTCTGTGTTGTGTCCACCATCCTAAGTGTGGTGATGGAACAAAATTGTAACAAGGCTAACAGCAGTCTTTCAAATAATGCAATGCAGTAATACCCCATGTGAATATCCATTTTATCAACTTAATTTAAAATATGTTCTCTGTTTCTGAAAATCTTTTTCGTTTGTTCTGCCCTTTTCTAGGCATTTAAATTTGACAAAATGAATTATTCTTGTACTTTTTTGTTCTCCTATAAAACCTCACAGAGCCAATTGTCATTGAAGGGTAGTGGGTAAGGCCAGTGTGTGTTCCTAATTGAAATCACTGTCATAGTCCATTTTGTAGATATCTAGTGTAAACTGTGCTGATTGTTTTCAAATTTTAACAAGACGTTCATTTCTACAAACATTCAGTCTTCTCACAGTGAAATCAAGTGATATGAGCATAAGAATTCCCATATTCCTTAAGATTTATGGTAGTCATTATGTGCTTTGCTTACCCCAAACTGTACATAATATAGGTAGTGTTGTCATACAGCTTTTGCTTGCAGCTGAGTATTGATCGTGGAAAGTAGGAAGAATAAAGTAAGGTAAATGATGGCCAGATATGGATTGCTTCTACATGATGGAAAACAGGTGGCCAACTCTGTAAAGAAATTAATATGCCATTTTAATGTCTGGAGGTTAGAGGGTTAGACACTTAAATGATTCAATACCTATAACAAATAACTTGTTGGTTATTCATAATACACAATTTCAAACATTCATATTTTAAGCCCATGAAACTTAGTCTAAGTCTTTCATTATAATAGATGCACAACGGTCATCATCTGGATAGAAGATGACTAATCTGAGACTCATATATAATATGTTTTCTTTTGCTCTCTCTCTAGTCTGTAAAATTGGTGTGTGTGCATGTATCTTTTTCCATTCTTAAGATTCAGTAAATAGTATCATTAATTTTGCTACAATTTAAAATAATCAATTAGAGTCTAATAGTTTATGTTTTGTTGTTTCAGTAGAAAATATCCATTACATTTTTTTTATATTTTAAAAATGACGTTTTGTTAATTTGGAGTTCTTTTCTTATGGATAGTCCACTTGGTGTATTTCTTTACTCTTTTTTCTTTCCAGCTTCCTTCCTGGTTAAGTGGGAAATAAAGTAGGCAGTGCTCTTCTGTATTCACAGCCCAAACCTAATAATATGTAGAAGGTGAAATCTTTTTTTTCAAAATCCATCTTTCTCTCCAAAGTTTGTGTGAACCTGAAATATAAGGTATTTTGAATTCTGTTTCTCACCAAGAAAAGTTCATAGAAAGACCATATGGAAAAATATTAAAAGATAAGTCATCCTTACAGTTACATTATATAATATTACCATGTTGAGGATTCTCTCTTTTGCTTCATAGGATTTTTGTTTCTCTCTCCGTGACCTCTTTAGTATCCTATCTCAGTCAAGAAAATAGATTTTCTTCTTGGAATATTTAATTTTCATATCCTGTGCCATGAAAAAAATATTGCTCGTGTGTATATGTTTAAGTATTTTTATTTGTATAACTTAGATTTATATCCTAACTTATACCTTATCCTCTATTCTATTGAACAAGAACTTCTGAGTTCTTAAAAATACAGCATCTGTCAGCTACTACATTTAACTCTTAGAAGAAGCAATTTTCTAACGACTTTAATCACTTAAATAATTTCAGAAATACTGAATAGATTATTCTCTTTTCACATGAGAGAAAGAACAGAGCAAATGGAGTGCTAACTTTCCTGATGTAAACCTGTTGATGTTATGGCACAATCTATCACAGATTAAAATATTTCCACGTGTGATACAATAAAGAGGAGAGGAGTGATAGTTGAGGTTGATACTGATTAATGTGAAGGAGACTCTCTTAAGAAATTTTTGTTGTAGATCTATTCTAAACTCCATTCATAAAGTCAAAAACTATACATTTTCCATCAAACAAATTTTATCTGATAACTACTGATAATCGAACCCTTCCCACACTATTACTACCACAGCCAAAACATCTTTACACATGAGAGCAAGACAAGAAAAATAATTTCAACACCTGTTTCTGTGGAGGTTTGATAGCATCTTGCTTCTTTTGAGGAACTTAAAATAAGCTATATCTTGATATATTCTGATGAACATACAGCAGTCCATCTTGGACAAATGAAGTTATCAGATTTTTACCTGAGAAGACCAAGTGGTTAAATGGCTCACTTTAAGGTTACACAGAAGAACAGTGGTAAAGAGGAGAAGGAAATTCAGAAATTTAAGCTTCTGAGTCAGCTTTAGGCAAAAAGGATTGTGAGGGAATAAATCTCTTTAGGATACTCTGTGCCAGTCATCTGCTTTTAAGCTATTCTTCTTTTAGATTAAGGTTCCCAGATTTATTTCTTCCTGCTCTTCACTCTTAACTTAAAATGGGGATGGGAAATAGGCATTTGTATTGGACAGGCATTCACTCTTACCTCTATAACTGCATTACCTTAATACACAAGTGATCTCTTCTTCTGTCATTTTTACAAGAGATAATAAAGACCTTTGGAAAATATGTCCTTATAATGTTAATAGCTACCATTTATTGAACATTAAATACCACATACTAGTCTAGCATGTATTAACTCACTTAAATATTAACAGAAAAGGAAAAAAAAAATAGGACAAAACTGTTAGCCCCTCTACTGGTGTAATTATGTATGATGATGATGAACATTTCTATTGCTTTAAGTATGTAACATTGTAAAGTGTTTTTATAGACATGATCTTTCTTGATCTTCATTAAAATCCTGCCAAGTAGGCATATGGTAGTTCTTCTGTTTATTTGCTAAGTAAGGAAGTTAAGGCTTCACAAGTGAAGTAAATTGTCCATTGTCAGTTAATAAGTTTTAGCACTGAGAGTGGAACCCTGATTTTCTGACTCTATCACATGAACTACTCTTTAGTTGTAGAACACCTGAAATGCCCAGAGCTGACCATTTAAAGCTTGTCTGTGGGTGGTGTAGGGTAAGAAATCTAAATTAGTAGAACTCAGTAGCATCCAAGGATAAAAAACTGTAGAATGACTGTGTGCTAATAAAGTGACATCCATCTCAAGAATCATAAAGCTTGTCAGATTCTTTAATCTAAAGGTATCCAGTTAAGGTCTTTGCTTTATACCCTGATCTAGAGTTCCTGGACAAGCCAGCCTGATGGTTGGGTGAATCATTTGTTTGTTAATCATATTTAATTAATTTAATTTCATAAGGGCAGTATGCCTGAATCTGTTCTATTCTCATATTTTACCCTCAATAAGCTCTACTAGGATAAAAAATTGCCATCCAGTCAGGAAACATGGCACAACAAGCAGGCATGGCCAGATGGTGGTAAATGTAGAGAAAAATAAAAGTGACAAGAAATAAGAAGAA